GGAGGGGTCTGTGGGTCAGGGTCGTCTGAGGAGGAAGCAGATGAAGGGATTTGCGCACGGGAACTTTTATTTAAGATTTAAGTTTAAGTTTTTTTTATTTCAAAGGTCCTCATGGCTCAGCTGCAGAAGCATAAATATTACTGTTAAGAAAGCTGAAGATAAAGTTGAATAAAAATCTAAGTCTGATTCTGAAGGTAAATTAAATATCTGACAGTGATCATTACACAGTGTGGCTCTAATTCTTTACTTAACCATCTGTGCCGCAGTTTCCTGTCTCCAAAATGAGCGTACGCATGGGTCAGAGCTGGCGTGAGGCACCGCACATTTTCACTTCAAGTTTGGATTTTATAAATCACAACCTTGGCGGAAAAAGTGGCGTACACAAGTTTCTGGGCTCAAATTGTGCGTACGCCAGTTTTATAAATCCGACCCCTGCTCTTTGCAACCCATCAAGAGAAAGGAAGGGATGGAGGGATGGATGGGTGGATGGAATATCTGCAAAATTGGCAAAACTAAAAAGAACTAAAAATAAACAATCAAGACACTGCTTGTAAAAGTACATATAAATGCATAGTAAAGAATGATGTTTAGGTCAGTGAAAGGCATTTATATTTATCACCAAGTTGAAAGAGAAATTAAAAAGCAGCAATGTATGTTTTTTTCTTTAAGTCTTTAGTTGGTCATTAATTTTTCTTAGCTTACTGTATACTTTTCAAAGTTCTCCACCTCTCTGACTTTTCAGATGACCACAAAACTATGATCCTGTTACACAACCAGTGGTGAAATCACATTGGTTAATTTAAACCGTATCTATAAAATAAGTAAGAGCCCATTAAATATAAAAATTAGGTTTTRCATGATAACTTGTGGATGTTTCTGCGCAGAAGGTGAACACTGGTTCATTAGACCATGGTCTGGTTTCTGTACTTTTCCAGGCTCAATTTTCCAAATATATCCGTTCACTTCTAAAGCATGTTTTATATTTTCTTTAATTGAATGCGCAATGTTTTAGTTTCTGGGCTAAGATTAAACACTGTAAACCAAATRTAATGAGTTTATTATCTGCAGTTAGCCACATACAATTAAATGTCTACCACAGACTTTTTTTGTGGTTTCCTGACTTGTCCAAAGGCCCATCAGCAGAGGCCTGAACTACAAACCCAGTCATCAGAGGGAGGAACTTATTTAAACACTTAAAGCACAGCCTTGCATGAAATCTGCATAGCTGATCATAAAAGTGTGTATGGGTTTTCATAACTCAAAATGTAGTATGATGATGGTTAAAACCTTAAATGTTAGGCTTTCTTTGGTGCATGAAACAAAAGAAACAACACAATGACAACATTATCTGTTATGAAGTCTTATGTTCGATGACAAAAATATTCTGCTTGTTATGAATACATTAACAAATTTAGTTTTGAGTTTTAAACAATGCAAGAGGCATCAGTCTGAAAACACAAAAACATTTTGATATTCAGTTTTCTTTTTTCCCACATGTACCAAGACGTGGAAAATGTCAGACATGTTATATATTTTCAAGATTGCATAAGACAATTTGCATACCAACTACAAAAGACGTAAAGGTGAAAAACTAATTGAACTGAATTTTATATTTAGAACTTTACATAATTTAATTGAGCAGACCAGTTCTATGGCTTTACAATAGAAGAATAAAGTACTGCTGAAAAGCTGTATTTCAGAAAAAAACACTTGTCCTTTTTTGTGTTAATTACTACTACCACTTAAATACAGTATACAGTGTATAAATACATACATACATACGCACACACACACATACATGTATATATATTCATATACACACACGCACACACACACACACACACACACATATATATATATACACACACACACACAGCGGGTAAAA